GCCGCTCTGGCCCGTCTTCCCGACCCTCCCGTTATTGTACGGTCTACACGCTCGATCAGCCCGTCTGGTTCTGCCACATGTTTTCTGCTCCTGGCCCCCGCGTCCTGCTACTCTCTATCGTGCTCCATCCTTCTCCCTCCCCCATCCGTCATCTCTTCCCCTGCCTCAGGGACTGCACTAATTACACGCGGCAGGTAAGGAAACTGTACCTCCAGGGGGGTACGATCGAAGACGAAGAGGGCGGGTATCGATAGTTTGGGATATACGTTTTGAATGGCACGCTGGCAGGTAAGAGCGACACATCTTAAACTTATTATTGTTGTTGTTGTTGCGGTTGTTGTTGTTGTTGCTGCTGTTATTGTTGTGGTTCTTGTTGTTGTGCTTTTGTTGTTGTAATTGTTGCTGCTGTTGCTGTTGCTATGTTGATATTGTTATTGTTATAGTTGGTGCTTCTGTTGTTATTGTTGTTGTTGTTGAGGTTGATGCTGCTATGATTGTTGTTGTTACTATTATTCTGGTTGTTGTTGTTGTTGTTGTTGAATCCTCATAAGTATATAATGATTCGGCCTAATCCCCCCTCCAATACCCATTGTTTTTTTTCAGTTGAAGTGCTTCTCCCGGGGTTTGCCCCCTGTGTTTTATAAGGGGAAATGAAGTGTCACCAAATTGTGTTGTTAGACCCCAGTTTGCAACAACAGCGGCTCCCGCCTGATACTACTCACAATATATTCTCGAATCGCGCTATCGCGCGCGAATTCCTCACCATTGAGGCAAGAATTGCGCTCTCGTGTGGGACTCCCTCGCAATTTATTCATACGCCGCGCCCTCGAAACTCAGGAATGACGCCGTCGCCCTGGCCTTCCTCGCGATGTATTCGGGAATCGCGCTGTCGCTCGAGGCTTCCTCGCGATTCATGCAGGACGCACGCTTCAGCAACCCGCCTGCCCCGTGTCCCTTCCTTCCATCCGTCCTCTCTTCTTATGCCTGAGGGGCTGCACGACATACATGTTGCAGGTCAGAAAGATATACCCCTAAGGGGGCACGGTCGAAGACGAAGAGGGCGGGTATCGGGAGTTTGGGATATACGCGTTGAATGGCACGCGAGCAGATACGAGCGAACAGTCTGAAAGTATTGTTACTGTTGTTGTTGCGGTTGTTGTTGTGGTTATTGTTGTCATTGTGGTTGTGGTGGTTGTTGTTGCTGCTGCTACTACTGTAGGTTTTTGCGCTTGTTGCTGTTGTCCTTGATGATTTTTCATGCCTATGCTCTGGGGGATCGCCGGGAGGAGCCTCTGCCGCCTCTCGCGGGAACCCCGCCAGGGAAATCCCAGGGCGCTCGAGCATTCAGCCGGCCCCACCGCGCCCGCTTGGCAAGAGCCTTCCCTCGCGGCGAGGGCGGCCGGGCTCGCCTCACTCGCTCGAGGCCCCGCCGGGCAGACCCCCGGCGGTCTCGCGCGCAGGCCTGCAGGAAGTGCCGACTGCGGCTAGGGAAAGAGAACCCGCCGCAAGCTCGCGCGGGCTTTGGGCAGCCCATGCCGCCGCACGGCGCGGCCCGCACAAGGGGTATAGAGGACGGGAGCTCGCCGGCCGAGCGGGCCAAAGGCGTGCCAGGCTCGCTGGCAGGGGGTGCAGAGCATCTGCAGGTACCAGTTCGCGGGCACGGGCCGGGCCCTGGTGGTGCCTGGAGGACAAGTACACTGGCATCAGTCACTAGTTCTTCTCCCTCGAAGAAAGCTCCGCGATCGCGCCAAGGGGGCTCCAAGAAGGCCCCAGAGGAGCCCAGGAGGGGGAATCAATGGGCGGCAGGCCCCCCAAAGGTACCGAAACAGCTTAAGAGGCCCCGAGACAGTCCCAATGTGGCCCAAGATGGTCCAAGACAGCTCAACGAGGACCCGCGACGGCCCACAGTATACAAACATCTCTCAAACATGCGTGCGCTTTTGTCGACGATTTTGGCTTCCTCGCCTGTTCGCTTCCAGTGCACTTCGGAGGTCTCAAGATGGCTCCGAGATCGCCCACGATGGCTCCACGCGGAGCCCTAAAGGGCTCCAGGAAGGCTCCGAGGACCCCAAAGAGTGCCCCAGGAGCGCCCAAAGAGTGGGGATCAGTGGGTGGGAGGCCTCATAATCGCTCCGAACGCAGGCCCAACCTGCCCCGAGATAGCCCTCCCAAGGCGGCCCAGGGTAGCCCTCAAGAGCTTCCCCGATGACTCCCAAGAGGCCGAATCTTTCAAGCCAACGGTTTTCCAATGATTCTGATGTTCTCGCTGTCTCGTTGCCTAGCAACCATGCGCTGCCTCCGTTTCTCCCCCGAGCGAGGTTCACGCGACAGCTCAGGAAGCCTGCCACAACTCACTACCTCCTCACCCCCCGCAAGCACGTAGGAAAGTGCCAGCGATGATGCATTATGGGCCGGCGGCATGCGCGAAGCGATTGGATGACTTGATAGCTGGCGACACCTCAAAGGTCGCGGCCTGCAAGCCATTGCTTTGCATACCAAAAATTGGAAGCAAGCCGAGGACGCCACGCGTGCCATGACGACCTCAGCTGCCTGATGCGGATGCGCGAATCCCACACGGCCGGCATGCGTCGGGCAGCGGAAGATGGATGGAGTGTGTGTGTGTGTGTGTCTGTGTGTGTGTGTGCGTGTGCGTTGCCGATTTTGTTTGCGTAGGATGGGTGAGGAAGCCGACGCAGGAGGAGGGGGCCCGCATGCCCGACCAACGCGCATCGTCTGCCGCGTCTCCAACGCGTGCAGCGTACATCAAAACCTGGCGCGACGTGCCACCGCGCCCCTCCTGCGGGGACTCCGGCGCGCCTCTGCTCCCCCCGCCGCGCCCGGCCCCGGCGCCAGGTCGAGGAGGCGCGCAGACGACCGAGGGCACCGCCCCAGCGACAGGACCGCGTGCGCCGCGGTCCTGTCACTCGCCCGCGGCCCCCGCTCACTCGTGGTTCGCCGGGGAGCCCACCACGTCCGGCGGAGCGGCGGCGGCGAAGGCGCGCGCCTCGGGGCCGCGGCCCGAGGCGCGCTTGAGGGCGAGGCAGCCCGGAAGGCCCGAGCAGAGCGAGAGGACGAGCGCGAGGACGGACAGAGCCAGGGGCAGAGGGTCGCCGTCGCTGTCCTCGGTGGCTGCCGCCGCGCTGCTCGAGTGGCTGCCGCTGGCCATCTCCGCCTGCAGCTCGGCCAGCGAATCCTCGAGCACACCTCCCTCGTACAGGTCGTAGGAGGTGCGCTTCGCGCTGATGACGTTGGTGCCCATGCCGCCGTACGTGTCCGTCGACTCCTCGAACACAAACTCCTCCATGCCTGCCGGCCACACGATGGTACCAGCCCCAGTCGCGGCCAAGGTCTTCAGCGCGGAGTCCGGCGCCGTGAAGCCGAACTCCTCGAGGAGGCCATCGTGGTCGTCCAGGATGAACTCGATGAAAGCCTTCAAGGCCGCCGCGGTCTTCGGATTCGTGCTCTGCTGATCCTTCTTGACGTACAGGTAGCTGACAAGAGTGATAGGCCACGTCGTTGAGCCGTCCATGTTGAGGATGTTCGCCGCGCTCCAGTCGGCGCTGGCGTCTGCAGGAAAGCTGCCTTCTGAGACGCCCTTGCTGCCTGCTGCGGCCACGCCGTTCGGGTCTGCCGCAAGGGACTCCTTGGATGTGCGAGTATACCCATCCGCATTCTGCAGGGCGATCTCCGCAAAGTTGAGGTCGTGCCCGTGTCCGGCGTCAAGGTAGCCGATCGAGTATTCTGTGCCATCGATGTGAGTCTGCATGCCCTGGGAGCCCTGAACAGCAAAGAAGTTGTCGTGCCCCGACGCCGTGTCTGGCCAAGAGATGGTTGATCCCTGACCGCGCGGCCAAGACGCTTGACAACTCTTGTCGAGGTAGCCAGTGATGCCGCCCGTGCTGCTGGACCCAAGCGTGCGGTGGCCGACCATGATCTTTTGGTTCGCTGGCGGGTCCAGGTTTGAATTCAACGCCTTGATATCTGGATGGTCCCAAGTGGTGATGTCACCGTTAAAAACTCTGGCCAGGAGGCATGCGGTGAGCTGGATGTCGATGTTGCCGCGAACGCTCGCTGGGACGTTGTGGAAAATGCCGATGGCTCCCAGCGCAAATGGCAAGTGGACCATCTCCTTGCCCGCCGTGAGCTTCTGATAGTTGTCCTCACTCATCGGGATGTCACCTGCGCTAAAGTGGTTGTAGCTCTGGTAACCATTGTCGGCGTTGCCGACGAACTCCGCCTGGCCTGTGCTGCTGCCGACCGCGCGGTAGGTGAGGTGGAGGGGCGCGCGCGCCCTCGTCTCGAGCAACTTCATGGCCTTGGCGAACCAATTCTTCGGGTTGGTGGTGCCGCTTCCGTGGAGCGCCACGATGCCGTAATCGTTGAGCGTCGTCTCCAGTGCTGCCACACGTGCCTCCATAGCCGTCATGGCAATGTCGATCTCGCTGAGCTTCCACAGCGAGTACGAGCTACGCTTCTTGCTGATGTAGGTGTCGCTCATACCCGCCCACTGCACCGTGGTGTCTCCCTCCATGTTGTACTCCGTCCCAGGCGTCGAGGGTAAAATGATCATGGCTTTGACTGTGCTGAACCACCTGTTCGCCCAGGCCTGCGGAACCGCATTGAACGAGTAGTCCGGCAGCAACGCCTGGCCCTCGTCCTCGGTCAGGACCATGTCCACGAACGCTGTGAGGAGTTGGACCTTCTGACTGTCCATGGTGCTCATGTTCTTCTGAAGGTAGATGTACGAGATGAGCACAATGGGCCAGGTCATGTCTCCATCCCTCGCATAAAGGTCGATGGCCGCCCAGCTCGCATCGGCGTCTGGCGGGCTCGACAACGCTGCGGCGGCGGCAGCGACTCCATTTTCCCCATTGTTGTCCTCGTAATCGATGGCCTCCGCTGAGGTGAGCCAATTGTCCGCCTCGTTCTTCAGCATCGCCTCTGGGAAATTGCGATTGTGCCCGTGGCCAGCATCGAGGTAGCCGATGGAATATTCGTTGTCAGAGATCCGCCACCGTGCAAAGGCACTGGTGTCCTCAAGTCCCGTCCCAGACGTGCGACATCTCTTTCTTTTCGATACAGGGTCCCCTGAAGTTCTCACCCTTTCCCCAGGGCCGGCTTTGCACGGGCCGTTGTTTCAACGATCCCTGAGCCTGGCGATGGCCCTCTTAGGCCGAGGACTACCAAAAACCCGCCGTCGCGTTTTGTCACGACGCGAGCATGTCTGGGTTCGAGTCCTCAATCTGAGCCCTCCGTGCTGAATCCTGCTCATGAAGGCCCCGAGGCCCCCAGTTTACACGGGCCTCCTGGGCGCTCCTGGGCGCTCCCGCGGATCGCCCCTCGCGACTTTTTCCTGAGGCCTGGGGAGCGTGTCTCCAAGAGTGCAGACCTCCAGCATGTCCCAAGACGGCCCCAAGGGGGCCCGCCCCGGGGACCTCCGCGGGGTCTCCTGGGCCGCCGTGGGGCCAGTGGGGTCGGCCCCAGAGGTCAACACCGTCAGAACTCGAGAGCGCCCGCGGTGGTCCAGCAGAGCCCAAGCTTCGTCCACGATTGGCTCCCGATCCTCCCAGAAGGGCCCCAAAGGCCTCAAGAGGGGCCCCGAGAGAGGAGGACTCGAAGGGGGACTACCATACCCGAGACCGCCAGCAGGGCCCCAAAGCGTTCCAACGGGGCCCCCACAGAAGCGCCAAAGAGGGCCCAGTATGGCTCCATTATGGCCTTAGACAGCCCATGAGGTCCTCCTCCAAGATGACACAGTCTGCCCCCATATGGCTCAACACGGGCCTCAAAGGGTCTCAATACGGCGTCGAATGTCTTCAAACCCTTGCGTGCGTTTTTATTCCTCAAACAGTGCAGGGGTTCTTACCTGTTGTCTAAAGTAACTGGGCTCTGGTGCCGGTCCGGCCAACTCGTCGCCGCCCATCGCCGCCGTCCGTCGCCGTCACTTGCACTCGCCCACTCTCACTCGTCCACTCGCAAAGCATGGCGTAGCACAGCACAGCATAGCAAAACTTACCGCAGCATAGCACACCATAGCTTAGCTTGGCAGAGCACAGAAGGACATAGCATAGCATATCATAGCAAGGTGCAACCAATGTGGTGCGACTTAAGCTTGCACAGCATCGATTGCATTGCGGATATTATCCCACATTGATTGGCACTGCATGTATTGCACTACATATGTTGCACTGCGTAAGCTGCCTTGCACATGTCACATCGCAGGGTATGCTAGAACACACTGTTTCGGGTCCACGCTGGCTAACATTATAATGACTATGCGTTTTGCTTCATCGCATTTTCGCTCACGATGGGCTCCTGAAGCCTTAAGGTGGCCTGCAGACCGCCCAAGACAAGTCCCGAGATGGCCAGGAAGGGCTCCAGGACGGTCCCAAGAGCACCCAAGAGCGCCGTACGAGACGTCTCTTTCGGGGTCCAGCGGGGCATCGCTAGTTTACGACCCATGCGCAAAGTTATTGAACAACCTGAAAACTTGGACTGAATGTGACACATCGGTGGAGATTGCATCCGATATGGCGCCGTACGGTCTACGTTGGCTCAATTTTGCCTCCAACATGCCCCCAGAAGAGGCTCCCGAACTGCTCCTAGACGCCTCCAAGTAGCCACATAACCCGGAAACAGCTACCCCCGAGAGACCCAAACTCCAAATTATTCAGCACATACGATTTTCACTGATTTTTGCTTCGCCCATACCATTCAACACGTCGATGTATGTATGCCTGCACATATATAAATGTATGTGTATGCGCGCACAAGCCTAACGGTGGGCGTGCCGAAAGAATTCCACACTGGATGAGGTCGGGGACGCGCGTTCACAATTCCATACACATGTATACAGCTCGTACAGTCCTTTCTGCTTTTCCAACCTGGTTCCACTCCTACTTCCTCCTCTTCTCTACTCCGTCTTCCTCCTCCTCCTCGTCCTGGTCCTCCTCTTCATCATCACCACTGGAGGAGAATGCGGCGGAGGAGGAGTGAGGAGTGAGGAGGAGGAGTTTGATGATGAGGAGGAGGAGGGGGATGAGGAGGAGGAGGAGGAGGAGGAGGAGGAGAAGGAGGAGGAGAAGGAGGAGGAGGATGGGGATGGGGAGGATGATGATGGCGCTGGAAAGCAACACAACACAAGAGGAAACAACTAACAAACACATGCAGAAACTGAAGTGCTGGCGGCCGAAACTTTGGGAAAACCATTGGAACAGCAAAAACAACAGCAAACCACAGCTTCCACAGAAAATGGAGGAGTGAGGAGGAGGGGGGGGGAGGAGGCGGAGGAGGAGGAGGAGAAGGAGGAGGAGGGCGCTGGACAACAGCATCACGAGGACAAACCAACAACAAACAACAAGTCTGAAGAACTGGCGGGATATACTTTAGGAAAACCGTTAGAAACAAACCGACATATAGGCAACAACAATATAAGCAAAACAGCTTCCACACATAATGCGGGGTTTTCCTTCGGACGGTTCCCTTCGGACGGTTGCTCCTGGGATCTTTGGCTGTTTGTTGTGGTTGTTGTTGAACTTTCATTGCTGAAGAATCAATATTGTTGACCCCCTCATCTGGGGCACATCGTGATTTTTCAATTGACGAGCCCTTCCCGGGGCTCGCACCCTGTTTGTTATCACGGAAAGAGCGTGTTCTACCGCTACTGGCGGAAAACTGGGGGGGGTCACTGGGAGTTCCTAACCCATCCCCCCCCCTCGAAACTCGGGGGTCACTACCGGTTCGACCCCCCCCCCAGACCATCATGAAAAGGGGGGGTGGGTCACTACTGGTCCGAACCCCCCTACCCCCCCTCCCTCGAAAACCGCGGGGGGTCACTACCGGTTCGAAGCCCCCCCCCACTCGAAAACCGGGGGGGGTCACTACCAATTCGAACTCCCCCCCCTCTCCGCCGGCAAACGATGCCCGCTCCTCGGGACAGTTGGAGAATGGTGGGGATGTTGGGACAGTGGTGGGAACGGTGGTGGTGGGGACAGTGGTGCGGGGACCCCTAGGCGGGGTGGGCCATCAGACCCCTATCGCCGATCAATATGCGATTGAGGGTCGGTGTGTCCCCCGTGAGCCTAGCCCCCCTTAACGTTGCCCCTGAGTGCATGGGGGCGGCGGTGATTCCCCGTAGGCGTCCTCAATGCAAGCGGTCACGCCTGGCGAGCCCTCGTTGTCCTGGAAGTTGCTCGACGTGCTCCACGTGATCGTGCTGCCGGACCCCCTGGGCCAATCTGACAAGCACTTGTTCTCCAGATAGCCGGTGAAGCCGGTGGTGCTGCTGGAGCCATCTGAGCGATGGCAGACCTTGATCTGCTTGCCCGCGGGCACCTGCAGATTGGGGTTGTCCACAGCAATGTCAGCGTGGTCCCAGGTCGTGATCGCGCCGTCGAAGATCTTGGCGAGCACGCACGGTGACAGCTTGAGGCCGTCGTTGCCGACTTCGGCTGCGGGGACGTTGTGGAATACGCCGATGGCCCCCAAGCAGAATGGCACGTGGAGCATCTCCCTGCCGGAGTCGAGCATTCCGTCGTAGCGTTCCTGCGTCATCGGGATGTCACCTTGCGGGGCAACGTTCGGGGGGGACTGGTCCCGGGGGGGAGGGACATCGAGCTTGACTGGGCGATACGTCGCCGATGGGCCCCCGACAGCGAGTCCGCACGTTCCTGGGAGGGGTGGGCTATCAGCCCCCTGTCGGCGAATGATTGGGCGATTGGGGGTCGATGCGTTCCCCCCTGAGCCTATTCCCCCCCCAACGTTGCCCCTGACACCTGCGCCGAAGTCATTGACGGAGGACGAGTAGTCGCCGCTGTCCGCCGCGGATTCGGAAGCCGAGCTGAACTCCCTCTGGCCGTTGCTGCTGCCGACGGCACGGTATGTCAGGCGGATGTCCTCCTTGGCGCGCGCCTCCATCGTCTCCATGAGCTGCCAAAAGAACTTGGACGGATTCGTCGTGCCGCTTCCGTCCACCTGGGTCCCGGCCTTCACCTGCACCGCGCAGCCGAGGCTGGCCAGCCACACCGCTGCGCGCGCCGCCATGCTGCAGCAAGCTCGGACTCGGTCGCGGGTGGTCTTCGAGGAACAGAACACCCTGGCAAAGCCTCGGACCACAGAGCCGCCACAGAGCGGGGGAAGGGGTGAGGCCTGCCAGGAGGGAAGCAAGCCCTGGAGGAGAGGGCTCTTGGACCCCCGGCGGCTTCCCCCAAGACGCGCCTTCCACCCCGAACGATGTCTTCTGACGGCCCCGAGGCTCGAGGAAGGCCCTCTGCGGCGGGGCCCAGAAGCTCCCCGCAGGGGGGCCCGACGGACAGACTGTGTGTTTTTCTTCCCTCCTGAATCATCGGCGGGGGGTCGGCTCGTGGGAGGGGACGCCTCGGCCTCCCCAAAGGCCCGCGTGAGCGTGTTCTCTTGTTCGGCGTTGCGACACTGGGCGGAACATGGGGGTGGGGAGGGGGGGGGGTCTGGCTCCAGGCCTCTGCTGAGTGCGACTGCGTGGCGCCGTGCTGCCTCTGGGTGAGGCTCCACCCGCTCGAGACAGGCGCCAGAAGAGCAGCCGAGATCTACTCCAGGGGGGGGAGGAGGGGTTTGGGGGCCCGCGCCGATCGGCAAAACAATGAATAAAAAACGATCACCACTCATCGCCGACAAGGGCCTGGTGACGAACCCCGCCCGAGAACGTGCGGTCCTGCTATGGAGCGCCCGTCGCCGATCTATCACGGTGACATGTCGCGGAGTCCTTGAGCCAATCCTCCCCCCTGTACCGTTGCCCCTCACGTCCGCTTCGGTTGCGCGCGTCGCTCGAGGTGCCTCCGCGGCGTCCTCCGCCTCTTCCCCAAGGCTCCACCTGCACCTCGCGCGCCGGGCGCGCGCCTGGCCCGCCCGACGCGCGAGGTGCAGGTCAGCCGCGGCGCGGCGGACGACGAGCACGGCGGCGCGCCGAGGGTGGGAAGCGGGACGGGGCGGGCCCTCACGGGAGGCTTCGAGGCTGCGCACAGACAGCCCCCCTCCCCCCCCCAGGCATCGAGGCTGCGGCCTCCAGAGCCCCCCCCCGAGTAAGCCAGCGCGGGGCGCCCCAGGGGCGCCGCCACACAGGCGGCGCCAGCTTCTCGTGATCGCCCCCCGGACGACTCGTGGGGGCCTGTGGAGGTGCTGGAGCTACCCTCGGGGGGGGGGGCTTCCCTGACCGTGGCTTCGGGGAAAAAAGCTCAGAGAGCTTCTCGGCGGGCCAGAGGAGGCCTCCTGAGCCTCCGCCTGCAGGCGAGCACGGTGGCCCTGTCGGCTGCCCTCCTCCCTCCTCCCCTCCCTCTTCGCTGCGTTTTTGCCTGTGGCGTGCCGCGTGGGCCCCCTGGGCAGCTCCTGACCCCTCGCCCCGCGAGCGGCCTCTCGTCCCCCGAGCTGCTGTCCGACGGCCCCTGGGGCCCGGCGAGGGCCCCCAGAGGCAGGGGATGGCCAAACGCGTTCCGTCGTGCCTCTCCGCACGACGCGAGGGGGGGGGGCGGGCCTGGCTGTCGGCAGGCCCCCCCCCCGGGGGAACCGTCCTGGGGCGCTACCCAGCACGGCGACGAGGAGGCCCAGAGGGGCACGAGAACTCTGGAGAGATCGTCGATCCTGGAACCTCGAAGTAATCGGGACGCGACGGGGCCAAGGCCCCTTTGCAGAAGACCCTCCTCGTGCTGCCACGAGGAGCCCGGACTGCGGAACGGAGGGGCTTCGCAAGCCACGGCGAGCCCCGGCTGCCCAGCAGCAAGCGCTGTCCCAGACCGACAGCGGCCGCTGCAGGCCAGGCACCTCTCTGTCTCGAACGGACAAGGTCCGCGGCAGCGCCGACCGCGAACCCGGCTCGGGAGGGACAAACGCTGCTGTCGGCCTTCGTCTCCACGCTTTCGCGTCCGGCTGCTTCGCGTCGTGATGACCCCGGCGGCGGCTTCTGACGCCACGCGGATCCCGCAATCTTGAACGATCGGCGGCTTTCCGCCCGCCAGGCCTTTCCATATTGGCAGATTCTGGGCCACGGACGGTCTTCAACGTGGACACACGCCCGCGGCGGGGTCGCCGCCGCGTCGACACGATACGAGCCTGCCAGACTTGTGTCGACCGTGCCAGGGCGGCGGGGTCGGGGCCCCTCTCGATGATCCTCAGGACGTGCTGGCGCCAGCGCGTGCTGGTCCACCGAAGCCCTTCGATGCGACGAAGGTGGTGCAACGACGGCCAGCACAGGCCGAACGGGATCAACGCACACTGAGCTAACGCACGTCCTGAGGATCATCGACCCTCGCGGAATGCACGCCCAGAGTGTGAGGAGCCAGCGCCGCTGGAGGGGAGGAGGGCGACGCTCCGAGTGCCGAGCACTGCGCTCGCGCCGCCTTTCAGGGACAGCGTTGAACGTGCGCGGCGATGACGATACCGACGACAAAGACGACGACCGCCCAGCCTGCACCAGCCTCCGACGACCAACGCCAACACCGACGACCGATGACGACGATGATGATGATGACGAGATGTGATGATGACGACAATGACGATGATGCTGGTGATGGTGATGATGATGCTGATGAGGATGATGATACTGCTGCTGCTGATGATGGTGATTCTGATCCTGCTGCTGCTGATGAGGTGATGATGACGATAATGATGATGTTGGTAACGACGACGATGACGATGATGATGACGATGATGATGATGGTCGTGGTGGTAGTGGTGGTGATACCGATGATGATGATAATGATGATGAGGATGCTGATGAGGATGATGGGGATGATGAGGATGATGATGATAATAATGATGATTATGATGTTGTTGATGATGATCATGATGGCGGCGGCTGCAGTGGCGACGATGGTGGTGATGACGATGACGACGAAGATGTATCAACACGAGCATGGTCATGATGATGAATCGGATGACGATGACGACGAGGATGAAAATGATGCGGTGACCAGGATGAACATGACGTGACGATGATGAGATGATGACAGTCATGAGGCTGCTGCTACTACTACTACTACTATCAACACTACTACCCATACTAGTAGCACTACTACTGCTACTACTACTACTACTACCACTACTATTACTACTACTACTACTACTACTACTACTACTACTACTACTACTACTACTACTACTACTACTACTACTACTACTACTACTACTACTACTACTACTACTACTACTACTACTACTACTACTACTACTACTACTACTACTACTACTACTACTACTACTACTACTACTACTACTACTACTACTACTACTTACACTACGACTACGACTACGACTACGACTACTACACTACTACTAGTGACTACTACTACTACTACTACTACTAGTACTGTACTATTACTACTACTACTATACTAGTACTACTACTACTACTGCTACTACTACTACTACTACTACTACTACTACTACTACTACTGCTACTACTACTACTACTACTACTACTCCTACTACTACTACCAGTAGACTACTACTAGTACTACTACTACTACTACTACTACTACGACTACTACTACTATCAACACTACTATCCATACTAGTAGCACTACTACTACTACTACTACTACTACTACTACTACTACTACGACTACTACTACTACTACCACTACTATCATTCTTACTACCACTATTACTAAATACGACTACAACTACAACAACAACTACTACTAATAATAATAAGAATAATACCACGACGACTACTACTACTACTACTGCGACTACTACTACTAGTCCGACTCCGACTCCGACTCCTACTACTACTACTACTACTACTACTACTACTACTACTACTACTACTACTACTACTACTACTACTACTACTACTACTACTGCTACTCTACTACTCTACTGCTACTACTACTTCTACTACTACTACACTACTACTACTGACTACTAGGACTACTACTAGGACTACTACTACTAGGACTAGGACTAGGACAGGGACTAGGACTAGGACTAGGGACTAGGACTAGGACTAGACTAGGATAGGACTACTAGGACCTAGGACTAGGACTGGACTACTGGACTAGGACGACTACTACTAACTTAATACTTACTACTACTACTACTACTACTACTACTACTACTACTACTACTACTACTACTACTTACTACTACTACTACTTACTACTACTACTACTACTACATACTAAGACTACTACTACTACTAACTCTACTACTACCACTACTACTACTACTACTACTACTACTACTACTACTACTACTACTACTACTACTACTACTACTACTACTACTACTACTACTACTACTACTACTGTTGTTGTTGCTGCTGCTACTACTGTAGGTTTTTGCGCTTGTTGCTGCTGTCCTTGATGATTTTTCATGCCTATGCTCTGGGGGATCGCCGGGAGGAGCCTCTGCCGCCTCTCGCGGGAACCCCGCCAGGGAAATCCCAGGGCGCTCGAGCATTCAGCCGGCCCCACCGCGCCCGCTTGGCAAGAGCCTTCCCTCGCGGCGAGGGCGGCCGGGCTCGCCTCACTCGCTCGAGGCCCCGCCGGGCAGACCCCCGGCGGTCTCGCGCGCAGGCCTGCAGGAAGTGCCGACTGCGGCTAGGGAAAGAGAACCCGCCGCAAGCTCGCGCGGGCTTTGGGCAGCCCATGCCGCCGCACGGCGCGGCCCGCACAAGGGGTATAGAGGACGGGAGCTCGCCGGCCGAGCGGGCCAAAGGCGTGCCAGGCTCGCTGGCAGGGGGTGCAGAGCATCTGCAGGTACCAGTTCGCGGGCACGGGCCGGGCCCTGGTGGTGCCTGGAGGACAAGTACACTGGCATCAGTCACTAGTTCTTCTCCCTCGAAGAAAGCTCCGCGATCGCGCCAAGGGGGCTCCAAGAAGGCCCCAGAGGAGCCCAGGAGGGGGAATCAATGGGCGGCAGGCCCCCCAAAGGTACCGAAACAGCTTAAGAGGCCCCGAGACAGTCCCAATGTGGCCCAAGATGGTCCAAGACAGCTCAACGAGGACCCGCGACGGCCCACAGTATACAAACATCTCTCAAACATGCGTGCGCTTTTGTCGACGATTTTGGCTTCCTCGCCTGTTCGCTTCCAGTGCTCTTCGGAGGTCTCAAGATGGCTCCGAGATCGCCCACGATGGCTCCACGCGGAGCCCTAAAGGGCTCCAGGAAGGCTCCGAGGACCCCAAAGAGTGCCCCAGGAGCGCCCAAAGAGTGGGGATCAGTGGGTGGGAGGCCTCATAATCGCTCCGAACGCAGGCCCAACCTGCCCCGAGATAGCCCTCCCAAGGCGGCCCAGGGTAGCCCTCAAGAGCTTCCCCGATGACTCCCAAGAGGCCGAATCTTTCAAGCCAACGGTTTTCCAATGATTCTGATGTTCTCGCTGTCTCGTTGCCTAGCAACCATGCGCTGCCTCCGTTTCTCCCCCGAGCGAGGTTCACGCGACAGCTCAGGAAGCCTGCCACAACTCACTACCTCCTCACCCCCCGCAAGCACGTAGGAAAGTGCCAGCGATGATGCATTATGGGCCGGCGGCATGCGCGAAGCGATTGGATGACTTGATAGCTGGCGACACCTCAAAGGTCGCGGCCTGCAAGCCATTGCTTTGCATACCAAAAATTGGAAGCAAGCCGAGGACGCCACGCGTGCCATGACGACCTCAGCTGCCTGATGCGGATGCGCGAATCCCACACGGCCGGCATGCGTCGGGCAGCGGAAGATGGATGGAGGTGTGTGTGTGTGTGTCTGTGTGTGTGTGCGTTGCCGATTTTGTTTGCGTAGGATGGGAGAGGAAGCCGACGCAGGAGGAGGGGGCCCGCATGCCCGACCAACGCGCATCGTCTGCCGCGTCTCCAACGCGTGCAGCGTACATCAAAACCTGGCGCGACGTGCCACCGCGCCCCTCCTGCGGGGACTCCGGCGCGCCTCTGCTCCCCCCGCCGCGCCCGGCCCCGGCGCCAGGTCGAGGAGGCGCGCAGACGACCGAGGGCACCGCCCCAGCGACAGGACCGCGTGCGCCGCGGTCCTGTCACTCGCCCGCGGCCCCCGCTCACTCGTGGTTCGCCGGGGAGCCCACCACGTCCGGCGGAGCGGCGGCGGCGAAGGCGCGCGCCTCGGGGCCGCGGCCCGAGGCGCGCTTGAGGGCGAGGCAGCCCGGAAGGCCCGAGCAGAGCGAGAGGACGAGCGCGAGGACGGACAGAGCCAGGGGCAGAGGGTCGCCGTCGCTGTCCTCGGTGGCTGCCGCCGCGCTGCTCGAGTGGCTGCCGCTGGCCATCTCCGCCTGCAGCTCGGCCAGCGAATCCTCGAGCACACCTCCCTCGTACAGGTCGTAGGAGGTGCGCTTCGCGCTGATGACGTTGGTGCCCATGCCGCCGTACGTGTCCGTCGACTCCTCGAACACAAACTCCTCCATGCCTGCCGGCCACACGATGGTACCAGCCCCAGTCGCGGCCAAGGTCTTCAGCGCGGAGTCCGGCGCCGTGAAGCCGAACTCCTCGAGGAGGCCATCGTGGTCGTCCAGGATGAACTCGATGAAAGCCTTCAAGGCCGCCGCGGTCTTCGGATTCGTGCTCTGCTGATCCTTCTTGACGTACAGGTAGCTGACAAGAGTGATAGGCCACGTCGTTGAGCCGTCCATGTTGAGGATGTTCGCCGCGCTCCAGTCGGCGCTGGCGTCTGCAGGAAAGCTGCCTTCTGAGACGCCCTTGCTGCCTGCTGCGGCCACGCCGTTCGGGTCTGCCGCAAGGGACTCCTTGGATGTGCGAGTATACCCATCCGCATTCTGCAGGGCGATCTCCGCAAAGTTGAGGTCGTGCCCGTGTCCGGCGTCAAGGTAGCCGATCGAGTATTCTGTGTCATCGATGTGAGTCTGCATGCCCTGGGAGCCCTGAACAGCAAAGAAGTTGTCGTGCCCCGACGCCGTGTCTGGCCAAGAGATGGTTGATCCCTGACCGCGCGGCCAAGACGCTTGACAACTCTTGTCGAGGTAGCCAGTGATGCCGCCCGTGCTGCTGGACCCAAGCGTGCGGTGGCCGACCATGATCTTTTGGTTCGCTGGCGGGTCCAGGTTTGAATTCAACGCCTTGATATCTGGATGGTCCCAAGTGGTGATGTCACCGTTAAAAACTCTGGCCAGGAGGCATGCGGTGAGCTGGATGTCGGTGTGCCGCGAACGCTCGCTGGGTGTGTGTGGAAAATGCCGATGGCTCCCAGCGCAAATGGCAAGTGGACCATCTCCTTGCCCGCGTGTGAGCTGTCTGATAGTGTCCTGTGTCATCGGGATGTCACCTGTGCTAAAGTGGTTGTGCTCTGGTAACCATTGTCGGCGTTGCCGACGAACTCCGCCTGGCCTGTGCTGCTGCCGACCGCGCGGTCCCAACGGTGAGGGGCGCGCGCGCCCTCGTCCAGGGCAACTTCATGGCCTTGCCGAACCATCGGGTCGGGCTGGTGGTGCCGCTTCCGTGGAGCGCAGCGATGCCGTCATCGTTGAGCGTCGTCTCCAGCATGCCACACGTGCCTCCATAGCCGTCCACCAATGTCGATCTCGCCTCATCCCACTCCGAGTACGAGCTACGCTTCTTGCTGATGTAGGTGTCGCACACCCGCCCACTGCACCGTGGTGTCTCCTCCATGTTGTACTCCGTCCCAGGCGTCGAGGTAAAATGATCATGGCTTTGACTGTGCTGAACCACCTGTTCGCCCAGGCCTCGCGGAACCGCATTGAACGAGTCAGTCCGGCAGCAACGCCTGGCCCTCATCCTCGGTCAGGACCATGTCCACGAACGCTGTGAGGAGTTGGACCTTCTGACTGTCCATGGTGCTCATGTTCTTCTGAAGGTAGATGTACGAGATGAGCACAATGGGCCAGGTCATGTCTCATCCCTCGCATAAAGGTCGATGGCCGCCCAGCTCGCATCGGCGTCTGGCGGGCTCGACAACGCTCGGCGGCGGCAGCGACTCCATTTTCCCCATTGTTGTCCTCGTAATCGATGGCCTCCGCTGAGGTGAGCCAATTCGTCCGCCTCGTTCTTCAGCATCGCCTCTGGGAAATTCGATTGTGCCCGTGGCCAGCATCAGGTAGCCGATGGAATATTCGTTGTCAGAGATTCGCCACCGTGCAAAGGCACTGGTGTCCTCAAGTCCCGCTCCCAGACGTCCGACATCTCTTTCTTTTCGATACAGGGTCCCCTGAAGTTCTCACCCTTCCCCAGGGCCGGCTTTGCACGGGCCTTGTTCAACGATCCCTGAGCGGCGCGATGACCCTCTTAGGCCGGGGGGGGAGGGGGGGGGTCTGGCGCGTTTTGTCTGACGCGAGCGACTCTGGGTTCGAGTGCTGCCTCTGGAGCCCTCCTCCACCCGCTCTGCTCAGGAAGGCCCCGAGGCCCTACTCCAGGGGGGGGGGGTTTGGGGCCCGCGCCGATCGGCAAAACAATGAATAAAAACGATCACGGCTGCCTCCTGCGAGCTGCTGCCTGGCCCGTCGTCTCCCGCGGACATCCCCGCCCCTCCGACTTTTTGCCAAAGGCCTGGGGAGGAGGCTTGTCTCCCATAGCGGCGCAGACCGCGCAGCAGGGCGTGCGCCAAAGCGCTTCGTTTCAACGGCCGGGGGGGCCCGTCGAGAAGCCATCCGAAACTTCGGGGAAAAACCTCAGAACTCTGGCCCTTTGACCCTCCCCTGCAGGTATGTCCTCCACCTGCCCCCCCTCGCCCATTATGGCCCCTCGAACTCCCTCTAGCCCACTCTCGACTTGCCCGGGATGATCGGTCCTGGGGGCGGGCCCCTCGCGGCCCGGGGGGAAACCTCGGGCGCTAATGAGGCCCCCGGGGTCGAGACAGTCGAAGTAAGCGGGCCGCGCGCAGCTTTAATTGCCGCAAGCCACGGCGAAAACCGGCTGGCCCCAGATTAGCGGCCCCGGGACAACCTCTCGCCAGCGCCGCGGCGCCTCGACACAAACGCTGGTCGCCTCAATTTACCCGGTCGACGCCCCGGGGAATCGTCAGTTGGCAAGGGCCCCGGACAACCGTTTCCCGGCGTCTGACATGTTCGACCGTGTTTATTCCGATGTCTAAAACAGCTGCCAGGGCCCAGAACCTGTCGTGCGAGAAGGAGGCTTGCAACACCTGTTGCTTCGCACTATCAATCCGCCCCGTAACTGCGCCGCCCTCAGGGAGCAAAACGTGCGCTGCCGGTCCCGCCGACGAGACGACGACGCGACGACACGGCGACGACAACGACAAGGCCGACGACCGATGACGACGATGACGACGGCCGACAAAAACCGCTGAGCTCGCCGACCTGTCAGCTCACACAGATGGGGAAATGGAGTGAGTGAGGCAGGAGCGGGAGGGGGAGGAGGCGGACGAGGAGGAGGGATCCACCGCCTCCTCCTCCTCCTCCTCCTCCTCCTCCTCCTCCTCCTCCCTCCTCATCCCTTTTCTTTATGAATGACTCCTCTCTGTCGCACCCCAAGGCGAGTCGGAAGGGCGGGCCCGGCGTTTCGCCTGAGACTTCCGCGCCACTTATGAGCCTCAGCCTCAACAACACTGGCAACAGTTTCACAGATGGAGGGCGGATGGTTTTCAAACTGTGGCTCTCGCATTAGTGCCGCGCGCATTCGTTTCAAACTTTCACACGATTTCACGGATTGAGGGAGGGTCGTTTTCAAAATGTGGCTCTCGCATTCGCGCCGCGCACATTCGTTTCAAAACATGCAGGATTGAGGCCGGGTCGGTTTCATAATGTGGCTGCCGCCTTAGCGCCGCGCACATTCGTTTCAATCATTTGTGAGATGTTCTCGGATTTGGTTTCAAATATTTGCAACAGTTTCACGGATTGCGGGCAGCTCGTTTTCAGCATGTGGCTCTCGCATTAGCGCCGAACGCACTCTTAAAACATATAGGAAGAGCTTCGCGGATTGAGGGCGGCTCCTTTTCAAAATGTGGCTCTCGCTTGAACATCGCGGACATTCATTTTAAACTTTGCAAGCGATTCAGGATTGTCAGGGCACAAGAATTATGTTGACTCGCGGTGCTGAAGTCCCAGGGATGGTAGTCTGGCTGATTCAAGATCGTCAAGATTTGCAATTCAAATAAAATCTTGGCGTTGAAGTCCTGGGAATGATGTTTTGGCGCGCTGCAAGATTTTCACACGGCTGTCCCCCAACGGGGCACTTCCCTCAGTGGAAATGAATCCTGGTAGGGGCCTAAGAGGGAGCTTGGAGGGAGCGTGTATTCAAACGTCTTTGATGAGTCTTGGCCTTACCCTGGTTCTCCTCGTCCTCCTCCTCCTACCTTTTCTTTCCTCTACCTCCTCCTCTTCCTCCTCCTCCTCCTTCATGTCTCCGATCCACCATTTCCTCTTCGTTCCTCCTCGTCCTCCTTGTCCAGGCCCTCCCTCATCGCCCTCAAAAACAAGCATAGTAGCATATCATAGCAAGGTGCAACCAATGTGGTGCGACTTAAGCTTGCACAGCATCGATTGCATTGCGGATGTATTATCCCACATTGATTGGCACTGCATGTATTGCACTACATATGTTGCACTGCGTAAGCTGCCTTGCACATGTCACATCGCAGGGTATGCTAGAACACACTGTTTCGGGTCCACGCTGGCTAACATTATAATGACCATTCGTTTTGGACATCGCATTTTCGCTCTTGGAGGTTCTGGGGCGTGAGGGCCATGCAGATGCCCTTGTGAGACCCTTGGTCCGTGTTTGGCCTCCTCCCTCCTGGCGCCCCTCCGGCTCTTCGCTGCGTTTTTGGGCCTGTCGGCGTGCCGCGTGGGCCCCCTGGCATCGCCAGCTCCATGACCCCTCGCCCCGCGAGCCTGGCGCCTCTCGCCTCCCCATCGACGCTGCTGTCCTGACGGCCTCCTGGGGTTCTCTAGAGGATCGTCGGGACTGGTGGCCAACCTCCTCTTTCCGTCGTGCCTCTCATCACCACGCTGGAGGCATTGGGGGGGGCGGGCGCTGGCGTTTGTCGGCAGGCCCCCCCCCGGGGAATGGCACACTGGCGGCGACGACGAGGCCCCGGTGCACTGAGCCAGGAGGGGTGGTCGCCACCTCGCGCCCTCGGCCGCGACGGGAAGGCCCGCGGAAGCCCGCGTGCTGCCTCCGGGTCGGGCTGCGCGAACTCGGGGCTTCGGCCTCGAGGCCTCCGGCTGCCCGAGCAAGCCTCCGCCCCAGGCGCGCGGTCCCCGAGGAGGTTCCCCGCTCGACGGGGTCCCCCGCGCGGTCCTGCCGCTCACCCGCTGGTGGGCTGTTGCTGGTCGGCTTGGCTCGGCACGCATCCGCGGCCCTGCCTCCCCTTCCCCCCGGCGGCGGTCTCCAGCGGCCCGCTTTCGCGCGCTGTCCGCTGCCACCTTCCTTGCGACTGCAGGCGTGTCTTCAAAGTGGTTTCCGCCCGGCGGCGGGCTGTCGCCGCCCCATGTCTACAGGAAAGGACGAGACTCGTGTCGACACGTGAGGGCTGGCGGGGCATGAGGGCCCTCTCGAAATCCTCTGGATGCTGGCGAACCAGCGCGTGCTGGCCCCAGTCCCGCGTCTACAGTGACCTGACGCCGACTGCGTGGATGCACCTGAGCTACGCATGTCCTTGGATCATCGACCCTCGCAGATCCACGCCCATTGGGGAGCCAGCGCGCACATCAGGGCGCCGCTCCGAGGGTCGAGCACTGGCACCGCGCCTTTACGGTCGGCGTTCGAACGGCGCGCGTTGAGATACCGCCCTGCGGGACATCAGGTGCACCAGTCCGACGACCATCACGCCTCTTACGCCGATGACGCCCTGCTGCTAAGCTTTATGTGACCAATACGATGTTGCTCCGCCGTGGCGAGTGCTTCCAGGATCATCTTCTGCCCTGCCCGAGAGATCTGGCCGCTCTGCGAGCAAGGCGCTCGACGCAATGCCGAGGCGCTGGGGCACGCGCGATGCGTGTATGACGATGGGACGGGCGTGGGGAGGGTGATGAGACGGGCAAGAGATGGGAGGCACAGGGAGGGGATGCTGTGGAGAATCAGCCCCCCATTCTGTTTCTTTTCCCCCTCCCCCCGCCGTCCGCTCCCCCCGCTCTCCCCCGCTCCTCCCGCTCCTCTGAAGGGTGCTGCGTTGGCCTTTTCTGTGCTTGGGAGGTCCCTCCCCCCCCTCCTCTTGCCTCGCTCCGCCGGGCCTGCTGCTCCTCCCGGCTCCTCCCGGCTCCTCCCGGCTCCTCCCGGCTCCTCCCGGCTCCTCCCGGCTCCTCCTCCTCCTCCTCCTCCTCCTCCTCCTCCCCCCTTCTTGTCTTCCTTCTGCTCCCCCTCGTGTCGTCTCCTGGTCGGTCTCCCTCTGCCCCCCCCCCCCCCCCTCCAGAATCATCTGGCGGCCGCAGGAGGCCCACGCGTTTCTTCCCCCCCCACCCCCCAGTCGGCTGAAGCCGTGCGGCGCTGGGGGGTCGAGGGCGCCGGGCTCCGACGAGCCAGAACAGTCCGCAGGCCCGAGGTCCGAGGGAGGGGGAGCTGGAGCAGGGACGGAGGAGGGGGGGAAAGGGAGGCGAGGGCAGGGAGCAGGGGGGGAAGGAAAAGAGGAGGATGGGGCAGGAGGGAGGAGGGCATGATGGAGGGAGGGAGAGGATGGAGGTGATGACGGACGAAGAGAGAAAGAGAGAGAGAGAGAGACATAGATGAGGGCAACATGGAGGGAGAAGGGTGCGGCCAGGCCGGCTGAGCCTCGCTGGGCAACCACGCCAGCAATATCTCGGGAGCATGGGCGGACACCGCGGCACGATTCTGTGGCTATCGAAGAGGCGTGCGGCGGCACCCGCAGGACCAGCCAGTGTGGCCAGCGAGTAACCACATCCTCCTCCTCCTCCTCCTCCTCCTCCTCCTCCTCCTCCTCCCCCCCTGCGGGCTACCTTGCTGGAACGCTGACGGGGTCTCGCGAGGTAATGGATGCCTATAGCAATGTTGTGAAGCCCTGCGGTGGAGTCTGACAGCCCAGCGCCGAGCTTACCCGCAGAAGTGGTCGCAGAGCTGGGGAAGATCAGAAAATGAGTGAGTGTGCGCGCGCTCGTCGCCTTGCATCACTCTGTGCAAAGAGCTGACGGCTACGCCCTGCCACAGCCTGTGGGAAGAGAGTGAGGCTACTACCTACTACTACTACTACTACTAATACTACTACTAATAATACTACTCCTACTACGCACATGTGTCCTAAACGCTACTGCTACTGCTACTGGCTACTGCTACTACTGCTACTACTACTACTACTACTACTCTATACTACTACTACTAGGACTAAGGACTAGGACTAGGACTAGGACTAGGAATAGGACTAGGACTAGACATAGGGATAGGAATAGACTAGGACTAGGACTAGGACCCCCCCCCTAGGAATAGGACTAGGACTAGGACTAGGCTAGGACTAGGACACTACTACTACGAGACTAGGACTAGGACTAGGACTAGGACTAAGCCTAAGGACTAGGAACTAGGACTAGGACTAGGAACGTACTACTACGACGAGCACTAACTCACTACTTACTACTACACTACTACTACTACTAACTACTACTAACTACTACTACTACTACAACTACTACTACTACTACTACTACTCTACTACTACTACTACTACTACTACTACTACTACTACCAACTAACTACTATACTAACTATACTACTACTACTACTACTACTACTACTACTACTACTACTACTACTACTACTACTACTACTACTACTACTACTACTACTACTACTACTACTACTGTTGTTGTTGCTGCTGCTACTACTGTAGGTTTTTGCGCTTGTTGCTGCTGTCCTTGATGATTTTTCATGCCTATGCTCTGGGGGATCGCCGGGAGGAGCCTCTGCCGCCTCTCGCGGGAACCCCGCCAGGGAAATCCCAGGGCGCTCGAGCATTCAGCCGGCCCCACCGCGCCCGCTTGGCAAGAGCCTTCCCTCGCGGCGAGGGCGGCCGGGCTCGCCTCACTCGCTCGAGGCCCCGCCGGGCAGACCCCCGGCGGTCTCGCGCGCAGGCCTGCAGGAAGTGCCGACTGCGGCTAGGGAAAGAGAACCCGCCGCAAGCTCGCGCGGGCTTTGGGCAGCCCATGCCGCCGCACGGCGCGGCCCGCACAAGGGGTATAGAGGACGGGAGCTCGCCGGCCGAGCGGGCCAAAGGCGTGCCAGGCTCGCTGGCAGGGGGTGCAGAGCATCTGCAGGTACCAGTTCGCGGGCACGGGCCGGGCCCTGGTGGTGCCTGGAGGACAAGTACACTGGCATCAGTCACTAGTTCTTCTCCCTCGAAGAAAGCTCCGCGATCGCGCCAAGGGGGCTCCAAGAAGGCCCCAGAGGAGCCCAGGAGGGGGAATCAATGGGCGGCAGGCCCCCCAAAGGTACCGAAACAGCTTAAGAGGCCCCGAGACAGTCCCAATGTGGCCCAAGATGGTCCAAGACAGCTCAACGAGGACCCGCGACGGCCCACAGTATACAAACATCTCTCAAACATGCGTGCGCTTTTGTCGACGATTTTGGCTTCCTCGCCTGTTCGCTTCCAGTGCTCTTCGGAGGTCTCAAGATGGCTCCGAGATCGCCCACGATGGCTCCACGCGGAGCCCTAAAGGGCTCCAGGAAGGCTCCGAGGACCCCAAAGAGTGCCCCAGGAGCGCCCAAAGAGTGGGGATCAGTGGGTGGGAGGCCTCATAATCGCTCCGAACGCAGGCCCAACCTGCCCCGAGATAGCCCTCCCAAGGCGGCCCAGGGTAGCCCTCAAGAGCTTCCCCGATGACTCCCAAGAGGCCGAATCTTTCAAGCCAACGGTTTTCCAATGATTCTGATGTTCTCGCTGTCTCGTTGCCTAGCAACCATGCGCTGCCTCCGTTTCTCCCCCGAGCGAGGTTCACGCGACAGCTCAGGAAGCCTGCCACAACTCACTACCTCCTCACCCCCCGCAAGCACGTAGGAAAGTGCCAGCGATGATGCATTATGGGCCGGCGGCATGCGCGAAGCGATTGGATGACTTGATAGCTGGCGACACCTCAAAGGTCGCGGCCTGCAAGCCATTGCTTTGCATACCAAAAATTGGAAGCAAGCCGAGGACGCCACGCGTGCCATGACGACCTCAGCTGCCTGATGCGGATGCGCGAATCCCACACGGCCGGCATGCGTCGGGCAGCGGAAGATGGATGGAGATGTGTGTGTGTGTGTGTGTGTGTGTCTGTGTGTGTGTGTGCGTGTGCGTTGCCGATTTTGTTTGCGTAGGATGGGTGAGGAAGCCGACGCAGGAGGAGGGGGCCCGCATGCCCGACCAACGCGCATCGTCTGCCGCGTCTCCAACGCGTGCAGCGTACATCAAAACCTGGCGCGACGTGCCACCGCGCCCCTCCTGCGGGGACTCCGGCGCGCCTCTGCTCCCCCCGCCGCGCCCGGCCCCGGCGCCAGGTCGAGGAGGCGCGCAGACGACCGAGGGCACCGCCCCAGCGACAGGACCGCGTGCGCCGCGGTCCTGTCACTCGCCCGCGGCCCCCGCTCACTCGTGGTTCGCCGGGGAGCCCACCACGTCCGGCGGAGCGGCGGCGGCGAAGGCGCGCGCCTCGGGGCCGCGGCCCGAGGCGCGCTTGAGGGCGAGGCAGCCCGGAAGGCCCGAGCAGAGCGAGAGGACGAGCGCGAGGACGGACAGAGCCAGGGGCAGAGGGTCGCCGTCGCTGTCCTCGGTGGCTGCCGCCGCGCTGCTCGAGTGGCTGCCGCTGGCCATCTCCGCCTGCAGCTCGGCCAGCGAATCCTCGAGCACACCTCCCTCGTACAGGTCGTAGGAGGTGCGCTTCGCGCTGATGACGTTGGTGCCCATGCCGCCGTACGTGTCCGTCGACTCCTCGAACACAAACTCCTCCATGCCTGCCGGCCACACGATGGTACCAGCCCCAGTCGCGGCCAAGGTCTTCAGCGCGGAGTCCGGCGCCGTGAAGCCGAACTCCTCGAGGAGGCCATCGTGGTCGTCCAGGATGAACTCGATGAAAGCCTTCAAGGCCGCCGCGGTCTTCGGATTCGTGCTCTGCTGATCCTTCTTGACGTACAGGTAGCTGACAAGAGTGATAGGCCACGTCGTTGAGCCGTCCATGTTGAGGATGTTCGCCGCGCTCCAGTCGGCGCTGGCGTCTGCAGGAAAGCTGCCTTCTGAGACGCCCTTGCTGCCTGCTGCGGCCACGCCGTTCGGGTCTGCCGCAAGGGACTCCTTGGATGTGCGAGTATACCCATCCGCATTCTGCAGGGCGATCTCCGCAAAGTTGAGGTCGTGCCCGTGTCCGGCGTCAAGGTAGCCGATCGAGTATTCTGTGCCATCGATGTGAGTCTGCATGCCCTGGGAGCCCTGAACAGCAAAGAAGTTGTCGTGCCCCGACGCCGTGTCTGGCCAAGAGATGGTTGATCCCTGACCGCGCGGCCAAGACGCTTGACAACTCTTGTCGAGGTAGCCAGTGATGCCGCCCGTGCTGCTGGACCCAAGCGTGCGGTGGCCGACCATGATCTTTTGGTTCGCTGGCGGGTCCAGGTTTGAATTCAACGCCTTGATATCTGGATGGTCCCAAGTGGTGATGTCACCGTTAAAAACTCTGGCCAGGAGGCATGCGGTGAGCTGGATGTCGGTGTTGCCGCGAACGCTCGCTGGGACGTTGTGGAAAATGCCGATGGCTCCCAGCGCAAATGGCAAGTGGACCATCTCCTTGCCCGCCGTGAGCTTCTGATAGTTGTCCTCACTCATCGGGATGTCACCTGCGCTAAAGTGGTTGTAGCTCTGGTAACCATTGTCGGCGTTGCCGACGAACTCCGCCTGGCCTGTGCTGCTGCCGACCGCGCGGTAGGTGAGGTGGAGGGGCGCGCGCGCCCTCGTCTCGAGCAACTTCATGGCCTTGGCGAACCAATTCTTCGGGTTGGTGGTGCCGCTTCCGTGGAGCGCCACGATGCCGTAATCGTTGAGCGTCGTCTCCAGTGCTGCCACACGTGCCTCCATAGCCGTCATGGCAATGTCGATCTCGCTGAGCTTCCACAGCGAGTACGAGCTACGCTTCTTGCTGATGTAGGTGTCGCTCATACCCGCCCACTGCACCGTGGTGTCTCCCTCCATGTTGTACTCCGTCCCAGGCGTCGAGGGTAAAATGATCATGGCTTTGACTGTGCTGAACCACCTGTTCGCCCAGGCCTGCGGAACCGCATTGAACGAGTAGTCCGGCAGCAACGCCTGGCCCTCGTCCTCGGTCAGGACCATGTCCACGAACGCTGTGAGGAGTTGGACCTTCTGACTGTCCATGGTGCTCATGTTCTTCTGAAGGTAGATGTACGAGATGAGCACAATGGGCCAGGTCATGTCTCCATCCCTCGCATAAAGGTCGATGGCCGCCCAGCTCGCATCGGCGTCTGGCGGGCTCGACAACGCTGCGGCGGCGGCAGCGACTCCATTTTCCCCATTGTTGTCCTCGTAATCGATGGCCTCCGCTGAGGTGAGCCAATTGTCCGCCTCGTTCTTCAGCATCGCCTCTGGGAAATTGCGATTGTGCCCGTGGCCAGCATCGAGGTAGCCGATGGAATATTCGTTGTCAGAGATCCGCCACCGTGCAAAGGCACTGGTGTCCTCAAGTCCCGTCCCAGACGTACGACATCTCTTTCTTTTCGATACAGGGTCCCCTGAAGTTCTCACCCTTTCCCCAGGGCCGGCTTTGCACGGGCCGTTGTTTCAACGATCCCTGAGCCTGGCGATGGCCCTCTTAGGCCGAGGACTACCAAAAACCCGCCGTCGCGTTTTGTCACGACGCGAGCATGTCTGGGTTCGAGTCCTCAATCTGAGCCCTCCGTGCTGAATCCTGCTCATGAAGGCCCCGAGGCCCCCAGTTTACACGGGCCTCCTGGGCGCTCCTGGGCGCTCCCGCGGATCGCCCCTCGCGACTTTTTCCTGAGGCCTGGGGAGCGTGTCTCCAAGAGTGCAGACCTCCAGCATGTCCCAAGACGGCCCCAAGGGGGCCCGCCCCGGGGACCTCCGCGGGGTCTCCTGGGCCGCCGTGGGGCCAGTGGGGTCGGCCCCAGAGGTCAACACCGTCAGAACTCGAGAGCGCCCGCGGTGGTCCAGCAGAGCCCAAGCTTCGTCCACGATTGGCTCCCGATCCTCCCAGAAGGGCCCCAAAGGCCTCAAGAGGGGCCCCGAGAGAGGAGGACTCGAAGGGGGACTACCATACCCGAGACCGCCAGCAGGGCCCCAAAGCGTTCCAACGGGGCCCCCACAGAAGCGCCAAAGAGGGCCCAGTATGGCTCCATTATGGCCTTAGACAGCCCATGAGGTCCTCCTCCAAGATGACACAGTCTGCCCCCATATGGCTCAACACGGGCCTCAAAGGGTCTCAATACGGCGTCGAATGTCTTCAAACCCTTGCGTGCGTTTTTATTCCTCAAACAGTGCAGGGGTTCTTACCTGTTGTCTAAAGTAACTGGGCTCTGGTGCCGGTCCGGCCAACTCGTCGCCGCCCATCGCCGCCGTCCGTCGCCGTCACTTGCACTCGCCCACTCTCACTCGTCCACTCGCAAAGCATGGCGTAGCACAGCACAGCATAGCAAAACTTACCGCAGCATAGCACACCATAGCTTAGCTTGGCAGAGCACAGAAGGACATAGCATAGCATATCATAGCAAGGTGCAACCAATGTGGTGCGACTTAAGCTTGCACAGCATCGATTGCATTGCGTATATTATCCCACATTGATTGGCACTGCATGTATTGCACTACATATGTTGCACTGCGTAAGCTGCCTTGCACATGTCACATCGCAGGGTATGCTAGAACACACTGTTTCGGGTCCACGCTGGCTAACATTATAATGACTATGCGTTTTGCTTCATCGCATTTTCGCTCACGATGGGCTCCTGAAGCCTTAAGGTGGCCTGCAGACCGCCCAAGACAAGTCCCGAGATGGCCAGGAAGGGCTCCAGGACGGTCCCAAGAGCACCCAAGAGCGCCGTACGAGACGTCTCTTTCGGGGTCCAGCGGGGCATCGCTAGTTTACGACCCATGCGCAAAGCCATTGAACAACCTGAAAACTTGGACTGAATGTGACACATCGGTGGAGATTGCATCCGATATGGCGCCGTACGGTCTACGTTGGCTCAATTTTGCCTCCAACATGCCCCCAGAAGAGGCTCCCGAACTGCTCCTAGACGCCTCCAAGTAGCCACATAACCCGGAAACAGAAACCCCCGAGAGACCCAAACTCCAAATTATTCAGCACATGCGATTTTCACTGATTTTTGCTTCGCCCATACCATTCAACACGTCGATGTATGTATGCCTGCACATATATAAATGTATGTGTATGCGCGCACAAGCCTAACGGTGGGCGTGCCGAAAGAATTCCACACTGGATGAGGTCGGGGACGCGCGTTCACAATTCCATACACATGTATACAGCTCGTACAGTCCTTTCTGCTTTTCCAACCTGGTTCCACTCCTACTTCCTCCTCTTCTCTACTCCGTCTTCCTCCTCCTCCTCGTCCTGGTCCTCCTCTTCATCATCACCACTGGAGGAGAATGCGGCGGAGGAGGAGTGAGGAGTGAGGAGGAGGAGATTGATGATGAGGAGGAGGAGGGGGATGAGGAGGAGGAGGAGGAGGAGGAGGAGGAGGAGAAGGAGGAGGAGAAGGAGGAGGAGGATGGGGATGGGGAGGATGATGATGGCGCTGGAAAGCAACACAACACAAGAGGAAACAACTAACAAACACATGCAGAAACTGAAGTGCTGGCGGCCGAAACTTTGGGAAAACCATTGGAACAGCAAAAACAACAGCAAACCACAGCTTCCACAGAAAATGGAGGAGTGAGGAGGAGGGGGGGGGAGGAGGCGGAGGAGGAGGAGGAGAAGGAGGAGGAGGGCGCTGGACAACAGCATCACGAGGACAAACCAACAACAAACAACAAGTCTGAAGAACTGGCGGGATATACTTTAGGAAAACCGTTAGAAACAAACCGACATATAGGCAACAACAATATAAGCAAAACAGCTTCCACAATGCGGGGTTTTCCTTCGGACGGTTCCCTTCGGACGGTTGCTCCTGGGATCTTTGGCTGTTTGTTGTGGTTGTTGTTGAACTTTCATTGCTGAAGAATCAATATTGTTGACCCCCTCATCTGGGGCACATCGTGATTTTTCAATTGACGAGCCCTTCCCGGGGCTCGCACCCTGTTTGTTATCACGGAAAGAGCGTGTTCTACCGCTACTGGCGGAAAACTGGGGGGGGTCACTGGGAGTTCCTAACCCATCCCCCCCCCTCGAAACTCGGGGGTCACTACCGGTTCGACCCCCCCCCCAGTCCATCATGAAAAGGGGGGGTGGGTCACTACTGGTCCGAACCCCCCTACCCCCCCTCCCTCGAAAACCGCGGGGGGTCACTACCGGTTCGAAGCCCCCCCCCACTCGAAAACCGGGGGTCACTACCAATTCGAACTCCCCCCCCTCTCCGCCGGCAAACGATGCCCGCTCCTCGGGACAGTTGGAGAATGGTGGGGATGTTGGGACAGTGGTGGGAACGGTGGTGGTGGGGACAGTGGTGCGGGGACCCCTAGGCGGGGTGGGCCATCAGACCCCTATCGCCGATCAATATGCGATTGAGGGTCGGTGTGTCCCCCGTGAGCCTAGCCCCCCTTAACGTTGCCCCTGAGTGCATGGGGGCGGCGGTGATTCCCCGTAGGCGTCCTCAATGCAAGCGGTCACGCCTGGCGAGCCCTCGTTGTCCTGGAAGTTGCTCGACGTGCTCCACGTGATCGTGCTGCCGGACCCCCTGGGCCAATCTGACAAGCACTTGTTCTCCAGATAGCCGGTGAAGCCGGTGGTGCTGCTGGAGCCATCTGAGCGATGGCAGACTTTGATCTGCTTGCCCGCGGGCACCTGCAGATTGGGGTTGTCCACAGCAATGTCAGCGTGGTCCCAGGTCGTGATCGCGCCGTCGAAGATCTTGGCGAGCACGCACGGTGACAGCTTGAGGCCGTCGTTGCCGACTTCGGCTGCGGGGACGTTGTGGAATACGCCGATGGCCCCCAAGCAGAATGGCACGTGGAGCATCTCCCTGCCGGAGTCGAGCATTCCGTCGTAGCGTTCCTGCGTCATCGGGATGTCACCTTGCGGGGCAACGTTCGGGGGGGACTGGTCCCGGGGGGGAGGGACATCGAGCTTGACTGGGCGATACGTCGCCGATGGGCCCCCGACAGCGAGTCCGCACGTTCCTGGGAGGGGTGGGCTATCAGCCCCCTGTCGGCGAATGATTGGGCGATTGGGGGTCGATGCGTTCCCCCCTGAGCCTATTCCCCCCCAACGTTGCCCCTGACACCTGCGCCGAAGTCATTGACGGAGGACGAGTAGTCGCCGCTGTCCGCCGCGGATTCGGAAGCCGAGCTGAACTCCCTCTGGCCGTTGCTGCTGCCGACGGCACGGTATGTCAGGCGGATGTCCTCCTTGGCGCGCGCCTCCATCGTCTCCATGAGCTGCCAAAAGAACTTGGACGGATTCGTCGTGCCGCTTCCGTCCACCTGGGTCCCGGCCTTCACCTGCACCGCGCAGCCGAGGCTGGCCAGCCACACCGCTGCGCGCGCCGCCATGCTGCAGCAAGCTCGGACTCGGTCGCGGGTGGTCTTCGAGGAACAGAACACCCTGGCAAAGCCTCGGACCACAGAGCCGCCACAGAGCGGGGGAAGGGGTGAGGCCTGCCAGGAGGGAAGCAAGCCCTGGAGGAGAGGGCTCTTGGACCCCCGGCGGCTTCCCCCAAGACGCGCCTTCCACCCCGAACGATGTCTTCTGACGGCCCCGAGGCTCGAGGAAGGCCCTCTGCGGCGGGGCCCAGAAGCTCCCCGCAGGGGGGCCCGACGGACAGACTGTGTGTTTTTCTTCCCTCCTGAATCATCGGCGGGGGGTCGGCTCGTGGGAGGGGACGCCTCGGCCTCCCCAAAGGCCCGCGTGAGCGTGTTCTCTTGTTCGGCGTTGCGACACTGGGCGGAACATGGGGGTGGGGAGGGGGGGGGGTCTGGCTCCAGGCCTCTGCTGAGTGCGACTGCGTGGCGCCGTGCTGCCTCTGGGTGAGGCTCCACCCGCTCGAGACAGGCGCCAGAAGAGCAGCCGAGATCTACTCCAGGGGGGGGAGGAGGGGTTTGGGGGCCCGCGCCGATCGGCAAAACAATGAATAAAAAACGATCACCACTCATCGCCGACAAGGGCCTGGTGACGAACCCCGCCCGAGAACGTGCGGTCCTGCTATGGAGCGCCCGTCGCCGATCTATCACGGTGACATGTCGCGGAGTCCTTGAGCCAATCCTCCCCCCTGTACCGTTGCCCCTCACGTCCGCTTCGGTTGCGCGCGTCGCTCGAGGTGCCTCCGCGGCGTCCTCCGCCTCTTCCCCAAGGCTCCACCTGCACCTCGCGCGCCGGGCGCGCGCCTGGCCCGCCCGACGCGCGAGGTGCAGGTCAGCCGCGGCGCGGCGGACGACGAGCACGGCGGCGCGCCGAGGGTGGGAAGCGGGACGGGGCGGGCCCTCACGGGAGGCTTCGAGGCTGCGCACAGACAGCCCCCCTCCCCCCCCCAGGCATCGAGGCTGCGGCCTCCAGAGCCCCCCCCCGAGTAAGCCAGCGCGGGGCGCCCCAGGGGCGCCGCCACACAGGCGGCGCCAGCTTCTCGTGATCGCCCCCCGGACGACTCGTGGGGGCCTGTGGAGGTGCTGGAGCTACCCTCGGGGGGGGGGCTTCCCTGACCGTGGCTTCGGGGAAAAAAGCTCAGAGAGCTTCTCGGCGGGCCAGAGGAGGCCTCCTGAGCCTCCGCCTGCAGGCGAGCACGGTGGCCCTGTCGGCTGCCCTCCTCCCTCCTCCCCTCCCTCTTCGCTGCGTTTTTGCCTGTGGCGTGCCGCGTGGGCCCCCTGGGCAGCTCCTGACCCCTCGCCCCGCGAGCGGCCTCTCGTCCCCCGAGCTGCTGTCCGACGGCCCCTGGGGCCCGGCGAGGGCCCCCAGAGGCAGGGGATGGCCAAACGCGTTCCGTCGTGCCTCTCCGCACGACGCGAGGGGGGGGGGCGGGCCTGGCTGTCGGCAGGCCCCCCCCCCCCGGGGGAACCGTCCTGGGGCGCTACCCAGCACGGCGACGAGGAGGCCCAGAGGGGCACGAGAACTCTGGAGAGATCGTCGATCCTGGAACCTCGAAGTAATCGGGACGCGACGGGGCCAAGGCCCCTTTGCAGAAGACCCTCCTCGTGCTGCCACGAGGAGCCCGGACTGCGGAACGGAGGGGCTTCGCAAGCCACGGCGAGCCCCGGCTGCCCAGCAGCAAGCGCTGTCCCAGACCGACAGCGGCCGCTGCAGGCCAGGCACCTCTCTGTCTCGAACGGACAAGGTCCGCGGCAGCGCCGACCGCGAACCCGGCTCGGGAGGGACAAACGCTGCTGTCGGCCTTCGTCTCCACGCTTTCGCGTCCGGCTGCTTCGCGTCGTGATGACCCCGGCGGCGGCTTCTGACGCCACGCGGATCCCGCAATCTTGAACGATCGGCGGCTTTCCGCCCGCCAGGCCTTTCCATATTGGCAGATTCTGGGCCACGGACGGTCTTCAACGTGGACACACGCCCGCGGCGGGGTCGCCGCCGCGTCGACACGATACGAGCCTGCCAGACTTGTGTCGACCGTGCCAGGGCGGCGGGGTCGGGGCCCCTCTCGATGATCCTCAGGACGTGCTGGCGCCAGCGCGTGCTGGTCCACCGAAGCCCTTCGATGCGACGAAGGTGGTGCAACGACGGCCAGCACAGGCCGAACGGGATCAACGCACACTGAGCTAACGCACGTCCTGAGGATCATCGACCCTCGCGGAATGCACGCCCAGAGTGTGAGGAGCCAGCGCCGCTGGAGGGGAGGAGGGCGACGCTCCGAGTGCCGAGCACTGCGCTCGCGCCGCCTTTCAGGGACAGCGTTGAACGTGCGCGGCGATGACGATACCGACGACAAAGACGACGACCGCCCAGCCTGCACCAGCCTCCGACGACCAACGCCAACACCGACGACCGATGACGACGATGATGATGATGACGAGATGTGATGATGACGACAATGACGATGATGCTGGTGATGGTGATGATGATGCTGATGAGGATGATGATACTGCTGCTGCTGATGATGGTGATTCTGATCCTGCTGCTGCTGATGAGGTGATGATGACGATAATGATGATGTTGGTAACGACGACGATGACGATGATGATGACGATGATGATGATGGTCGTGGTGGTAGTGGTGGTGATACCGATGATGATGATAATGATGATGAGGATGCTGATGAGGATGATGGGGATGATGAGGATGATGATGATAATAATGATGATTATGATGTTGTTGATGATGATCATGATGGCGGCGGCTGCAGTGGCGACGATGGTGGTGATGACGATGACGACGAAGATGTATCAACACGAGCATGGTCATGATGATGAATCGGATGACGATGACGACGAGGATGAAAATGATGCGGTGACCAGGATGAACATGACGTGACGATGATGAGATGATGACAGTCATGAGGCTGCTGCTACTACTACTACTACTATCAACACTACTACCCATACTAGTAGCACTACTACTGCTACTACTACTACTACTACCACTACTATTACTACTACTACTACTACTACTACTACTACTACTACTACTACTACTACTACTACTACTACTACTACTACTACTACTACACTACTACTACTACTACTACTACTACTACTACTACTACTACTACTACTACTGCTACTACTACTACTACTACTACTACTACTACTACTACTACTACTACTACTACTACTACTACTACTACTACTACTACTACTACTACTACTACTACTACTACTATTACTACTACTACGACTACTACTACTACTACTACTACTACACTACTACTACTACTACTAACTACTACTACGTACTACTACTACTACTACTACTACTACTACTACTACTACTACTACTACTACTAACTACTACTACTACTAGTACTACTACTACTACTATACTGTACTACTACTACTACTACTACTACTACTACTACTACTACTACTACTACTACTACTACTACGACTACTACTACTACAACACTACTATCCATACTAGTAGCACTACTACTACTACTACTACTACTACTACTACTACTACTACGACTACTACTACTACTACCACTACTATCATTCTTACTACCACTATTACTAAATACGACTACAACTACAACAACAACTACTACTAATAATAATAAGAATAATACCACGACGACTACTACTACTACTACTGCGACTACTACTACTAGTCCGACTCCGACTCCGACTCCTACTACTACTACTACTACTACTACTACTACTACTACTACTACTACTACTACTACTACTACTACTACTACTAACTACTACTACTACTACTACTACTACTACTACTACTACTACTACTACTCTAGGACTAGACTAGGACTAGGACTAGGACTAGGACTAGGACCTAGGACTAGCTAGGACTAGACTAGACTAGGACTGACGACTAGGACTAGGACTAGGACTAGGAACTAGGACTAGGACTAGGACTAGGACTAGGGACTATTACGACTACTACACTACTACTACTACTACTACTACTACTACTACTACTACTACCACTACTACTACTACTACTACTACTACTACTACTACTACTACTACTACTACTACTACTACTACTACTACTACTACTACGACTACGACTACTACTACTACTGACGATGGTGATGCCAACGATGACGATGAGGAGAAGAGGAAAATGATGACGATGATGAGCATGATGAAGGCGATGATGAGGGGGCAACTGAAGAGGAACATGAGGAGCATGATGATTCTTCGCTGCCCAAGTGCAGATTGAATGTTTGATTTCGGAGGAGGGGGAGGAAGGTGAGGATGAGGAGTTGGAAAGGGATGAGAGAACAATGGTGGTGCTGCTGATGAAAACGACGATTATTATGGAGAATCTGGTGGTGACGAGGAGGCAGACGAGGAGGAATACG